TAATTGGATTAGTGATAGATCTCCATCACTTAAGGGTTGGCATAGGATAATTTTTGAGTTAATTCCCCTGGAGCGTCTTACCTATGTATTACATAAAACAACTGGCCAGTTTTATAAAGTCTGGACCCCATATCTTGATTATCAGGAACCTCATCTTCGTCCTATGATATTACAAGGAATGTCGTAGTTGTATAACTTTTTAGACAACTAATTTTTTCTTTTTTTTTTCTCTTCCCTTATTTGTTTTATATGAGGTAATCCTGTGTTATTTAAAGTCTGAGCTTTGTTGTTTTGTTGTTGCTGTTGTTTTGATGATGTCTTGTTATTTTTGTATTATAATGAAAATGCAATAAATATAATTATAAAAATTTTAAAAAAAGCCGATGAGCAGCATAAACCACCGAAGGAGGCAGGGGAGCTAAAATGCTAGCTAGCTTTGTGGCCAACTCTAGATTGATTGAGTTTTAACTTGAAAGCATTGTTTCCCAAAAGCTGTTTCTTTAAATTAGAAGTTGACAATGTCTTTACCATTGACAGGCACAACTGGCGTTCAGCAGCAAATGAATTTCCATTTTTTCTTTGAAAGTCAGAAATATGATGCTTACATTTCCACAACGTGATAGCGCCACAGTTGCTCATGAACGTTCACGTTGGTCTCCAGCTTACCACTGCCCTCTAACGGGCAAAGGGAAAACTGTGCATGTGATGATTTAAAATAAAGACGTAAAGAAACGGCATATATCTTTTAAAAGACATTTAAAATCATTTTTAAATCGAGGCAGATGCATTCTAAAAGTATCCTCTTATTATTTTGTACTCAATTACTGCCTTGTAAAATGTAACATGGGCTAAACACAGATACTTTTATTTCTATATTCTGAACACACACCTCTTTGTTACATGTTTTCCATTACAGGGCACTATTTAATTTTTCAATACCCAGTGGGTGGCAACTCTACTAGGCATGTTAATCCCGCCCCAAAAATATTGCACGATTTATTTATGAAAAATCAGATATCAGTTTGCAGTAATTTCAATTTGTCATACGTTTTATGTTTTGTTTAGGGGAGTCTTATGGGAATTTTAAGCATTTTTGGCCACATTGCCCAGACCAAATTGGTACTCTAACTTTCTGCCTTTGCAAAAGTTTTCATTATTTTAAAATGGCATACAAAAGAATGTATAAAATGCATTAACGTTACATTAAAAAGAAAATGCACACACAAATTGTCCAGCACCTATAAATAAATATTATGAAAAATATTTATTTGTAAGTTGCAAAGCTGGTCTTTGAAATAGCTGATTCAAACAGAATTAGTTTGGAACTAGAGATGGACCCCGTGTTCGTCATCTTGGGTCTCACAAGCAGATATGTTGCATGAAAAAACAAGAGATTATACTGCATTCTTACTTATGCTGCAAGGAAGAGCATTTTATTGCAGTGGATTAACGAAAAAGTATGAACTGTTAAAGGCTGGCAGAGAGTGCAGTTTGATGTAGTGTCATTAGAGTACCGTACAGCTAGATTACATTCAAAAACAGAC